ACATGAAACAGGTACGGGGCCCTCCAGCTGACCTCCCTCTTGACGTTTTTCATCATTGCCGTTCGGGCACACCCCTGATGCGCGAGCAGCCTTGAGGCCGCAAAGACGGCCTCTGGGCACGTCAAATCGGGCAGCGAGAGGGCGGCCGCGCATGGATTCGCGCGTACGGGCAGCGTGCGTACGTAAAACCCAGGATGTGCGGGAAAATTTGTCCGGCATGGGGGTAGGCGCACGGTGGTATGGAAATTCCAGAGCAGAGCAGAGTGTGCGATAAGAAGAGGCAGAGACGTAAGTAGGCGTACAGTGTGTATGATACAGCAGAAACACGAGGCGTGAAAATACGACATGAGTAAAACAAAAAAAAGGAAAGCGAGCGTGCTACGCCGGTGCAACAGTCCTTCGCGGAGGAAGCGGCGGCCTGGGTTTTGGCGACCCGTCGACCCCAATGGCCGGCGACGCAGGTGCACTCGGCGCAGGGCTGCCATTCGCCACCGACTCGGCGTCGGCCGCTGCTGGCAGCCGTCGCGCAGGGAGCGGGGGCGGCAGCGGCGGGTCGAGCGACGCGCGCCGGCTCCTGTCCTTCGAGGCGATCGACTGCAGCGCCGCGCTCGCGGGCGGCGAGCCGTCCCCGAGCTCAGGCGGGTGAGGCGGCGGTTCCGACAGCAGCGACACCGCGTTCGTCGAGTTCGACCGCGGCGGCAGCGGCGGCGGGACCGGACGCGCAGGCGTCGACGTGAGCGTCGGAGTCAACGGCTGCGCCGTCCACGCCGGGGGCGCGTTGTCCGCGTCGTGCTCGCCGTTGACCACCGTCTCGCTCGACGCCTGCGAGTCCGGCTGGACGCCCTGCGCCTGAGACTGCTGCGGGCCCTTCCAGAGCCGGTATACGCTCTGGATCGCGGCACCCTTCTTCTGCTCCGAAGGCGTAGGCGGCGCGACGTAGCCCATCGACATGACCTCCCCGCGATGGCTCGCATGGATCCCAGGGATCGTCATGGTTTTCGGTGTCGGTGGCTGGGTGTGGATCGGCCTCGCGGGCTGCTCGTCCTCGTCAAGCGGTGCGTTCAGGGCCGCCTCGTTGTCAGACTGCGAGTGATTGGAGACAGCGCGCGGCCGCGTCAGCGGCGCGGTGACCGACGGCGACGTCGAGCGTGGCCGACTGCCAAAGTCAGGCATCAATCTGTCCGATCGCGGCGAGGCTGAGGTAGACGACGTGTTGCCGGCGGACTGTCCTGACGCACTCCCCGGACCAGTCGACGATATGCTTGGCGCATTGCTGCGTCCGGGGATGTCCATCGGCTCCGAAGGCTCACTCGCCGGAACCTGCAAACCTTCATTATTATAGGGCACCCTACGCTGTTCAACGGCAGCGCGGACCTCTGCATAACCAGGGCGTGCCTTGTTGGCCTTGTCTGCCGGCTGCCGCTGCATCTCTCCATCAGGGACCTCGTCACCGCTGGTTGTCTGCGCATCCTTCTTGAGTCCGCCCCAGTTGACGCCCCATTTCCGCATAGCCTCCTTGGCAGAATTGCTGATGGCCTGTTTGTCGCGCGTTTTGAGCGTCTGGAAGAAGTTGGACGTAGGGCTCCCAGGATTGGTCTTTACGGATGCCGCAGGGCTTTTCGACCTGAGGCCGGCCAAAAGAGACTCGGCTGGACTGGTGGATGGTGCGCCGGAAGAGCTGCTCTGGGCTGCATCCTGCGAAGGTGCAGAATACGACGAGTGCCGCGACAAAGACCGACGAGCAGGCACCCGAGAGTCAGATTCTTCCGATCCGCTGTGATTATCGGACGTATCCGAACGGGCAGAGCCTTCAGTTTGGGTGTCATGAGGGGTAGAGCTCGATCTGCGGTTGTCCGCCACATCAGGGGCACCAGTCCGACCTCGCTCAGGCTCCGTAAGCTCGGGGTGACTAGGCTGTTCAGGTGATGTGATGCCTTCATCTCGACTGCCGCCGAACCAAGTGCGTTTTCTGGCGGCAGAGCCGGTGGATGAAACTGATGATGTCGAGATAGTTTTGGCGCGAGATGAGAGAGCAGGGGGTATCGTTTCGGGCGTAGCGTCAACGGTCACCTGGGTCTCGATGGGAGCGGAACTGGACCGTTGCAGACCGACGTGGTCTAC